CAGACACCCCCATTTCCTTGTTTCCTCATCATCCTTCAAATTCATACGAGCACCTACAATCTTTCAAGCATGGGGAGAGAACAGTGAACAAAACAGAGCCCCTGTCCTCCTGAAGCTTATATTCTAGCTGGGGAAACAGAAAAGAAATAAATAGAGATACATATACCAGCATAGAAGATGGTGGTTAGTGCTGTGCAGAAATCTGCTATGGTACGTGGTGGGCAAAATGTGCGTGTGTGTGTGTGTGTGTGCACATGCACGTATGTGCTTTATTATAGTTAGTGGTGTCAGTGAGGGCTTTTTGAGGAGTGACATTTGAAGAAAGAGCTGAGTGAATTTGAGTCATGGAAATACTGAGGGGAAAAGCATCAGGTGAAAGGAAGAGCATGGGCAAAGGCCCTTTGGCCTCATGCTGGGGGGTGGAGGCAGGCCTCCGGCCTTATCATAGTGGTCTGGGCAGCATCCTTTGTGCTTCTCCCCCTCAACCCATGCCAAACCCTGGCCACTTTGGACACATACTCAACAATTTTTAAAATTATTATTTTTAATTGTGGTGAAATACGCATCAATTTAACATCTTAGTCATGTGTAAGTGTACAATTTGGCAGCATTAAATATATTTATTATTGTGCAACCGTCATCATCACCCATTTCCAGAATGTTCTTATAATCCCAAACCGGAACTCTGTACCCATGAAACAGCAACTCCCCATTCCTTCCTCCCCTGAGCTGCTGGCAGCCACTGTTTCCTTTCTGTCTCTGTCAATGGGACCACTCCGGGTACCTCACACAAGTGGAATCACATAGTATCTGTCTTTTTGTGAGTGGCTTATTTCGTTTAAGCGTAATGTTCTCCAGGTTCATCCCTGTGGGGCATGTGTCAGAATGTCCTTCCTTTTCAATGATGAATAGTGGTCCATGGTGTGGATGGGCCTCGTTTGGTTTACCCATTCATTCTGTACGGTCAGTGGACACCCGGGTTGCTTCTGCCCCTTGGCTAGAGTGGATAATGCCGCTGTGAACATGGCTGTACAAGAATCTCTCCAAGTCCCTCTTTCAGTTCTTTTGGGGACATTCCTAGAAGCAGACAGTTTTAGCTCCCTTTTCCTTGAGCTGATCCACTGTGCTGTGCACGCTGCCCCTTGTTAGTTATGTCACTGTTAGGGGGACCGTGTTGATCGGGGTCACCTGTTTCCCTCCTCTCGACTGTAAGTTCCTGGGGAACAGGGAGTGGTGCTTGGCACTGCACCCCCAATGCCACGGATAGCGCACAGTCTGTGTCCCAGTAGGATTTATTCAGTGAGCATCTCTGGAAAGGGCTGCCCCAGGAGGAGGGTGAAGGCTGGGCTGCACAGAGCCTGCCCCTCCTTTGTGTTTTTACATTGGGCTTCTCTGATTTTGTTGGAAAGGAGACTCTGTCCCTAAAATAAAAATGGGGATAATCCGTTTTCCTGTGAGAGAAATGAAAGATTTAGTCTCTTCCATGGAGACTAAATGTCCTGCCCGCTGTCCAGGTGCAGTGAGGGGCGTGGCCGGGACCAGAATCCCTGCTTCCCTGTTCTCTAGTCAGTGCTGCTGCTGGAAAAGAGTCTTCTTTTGTTTTCCCTCTCACCTCTGGCTGCCTCTCCCTCCCCTCAAAGGTCAGAGCAGTGCCAAGGACAGAAGAGAGAGTAGACCCAGCCTAGGCCCTGCTAGGCCGGGCAGCCTGGCAGGTAGAGTCGGCGGGGGTAGAGCTTGCTTTGCTGTTCACAATCTTCAACCAAGTTCAGGGAGGTCTGAGTACTAAGGCCTTCAGAGCCGCTGCAGCCCCAGGTAGCTCAGGAGAACTGCCAAGCCCAGGAGTGCAAAGGCTGGTGTTCTTCAGGCTCTGAGGCTGTCCCTCCTGGTGGAGGTGAACTGCTTCTTACTGGTGTGGACAAGACTGTGGGTATGTGTGTGAGTGTGAATGTGAGTGTGTGGAGGTGATACAGAGAGGCCTAAAGGGTGTGTGTGTGTGTCAGGGGGAGGGGTGGGTGTGTGTATGAGAGAGGCAGAGGCAGCAGGAGAGAAAGAGAGTGCAATGCAGAGAAGCAGGCAGAACCTTCCTCATAGAGTTTTGGGGGTGACATGATCTGAAAAGCACTTGGAACAGTACCTTGCTCACAGCAATGGCTGTGTTGATGGTTTTTATTGTTATAGAGGCACAGACACAAAGAAAGGCAGAGAGGGAGAGGGGAGAGTGAGGAAGGGAGGTGGGAGGCTGCAGGAGGGAGGAAGAACTACATTCTGGAAACCTCAGAGATTTAACAAACGGGTGGAATCTGGGAAGAGCTCCCCTGCCTGCTTGTTCTCTTATAAAGCTGATTATGCTTACCTTCCTCCCCCATGGTATTTTAAACTTAAATAACACAGCCTCCATTGTGTAAAGCAAAATAATTTTCTGGATTCCCTGCTGTACCTCAGTGCACCATGCTTAGGGAATCTGCCCGGCAACGCGGACGGACTGTGGGAGTCTGCCGCGGAGGCTGCGTCCCCCGCTTGCTGGTTAGGGTGCTCCTATGCCCAGCCTTCCAGGCCTGGCGTCCCCCAGCCCCCCAGCCAGCCCCCAGCACAAATCATTCGGGCTTTATCTTATCTTTAGCAGGAACACTGCTTCCCATATGTGTAGGATTAATGGTGAATCTTACCGCCTGGACAGAGATGGGTCCTGGGTGACTCCAGGCCCTAAGAACCTTTCCCCAGTGTGGACTAGTGGGGAGCTCCAGCACCCACCTGAGAGTTGAAGGAGACCCCCTCCCTGCTTTGTGATAGCTCCAAAGAAACAAGATGTGTGCCCCGCCTTCACCCCACATTGTCTACTTTGATTTACAGCACAGACATCACAGGGGGACCTTTTTGGTTAACATTTACAGAAGTGCTTTCTGTCTGGTTTCTAGATGGAGACTGACAGGAGCCTGGCTGGGGAGCCCTCTGGCAGGGCTGGCGGCTGGGCTGGCAGGATCTGGCGCTCCCCGTCCCCAGAACCGACTTTGTCCCTCGCAGCCATGGTGGCTGCACTAACCACACTCTTCCTCCACCTTTGCACTAAGAAAAGCAAATAAGCAGACCAAGAACTGTTTGCATTTGCCCCAGATGCTCCCTGGCTGCGGGAAGAGGTCAGTAGGGAGCGTGCAGGGAGAGGGGAAAGGAGGCCGGTTCCGCAGGGAGGGCACGCTGGCTGCCTACTCCTGGGGAGGGACAGAGGAAAGGCTCGTCCAGCCCAGCACAGGCCTGCGGAGGGACCCTGTGGGCGCAGAGCATGGAGACTGAAGAGGTGATGGTGCTAGATACCCCTATCCCTGGCATATTCTGCATTTCAAAACAGAGAATAAGTAGTCGTGTTAGCTATAAAGTGGCAGGAGCTGTTCCTTAGCAAGAGACAGAGACAGAGAGGAACAGACACACAGAGAGACAGAGATGGAGGCAGAAAAATACACAGAGAAATGGAGAGACAGAGAGAGAGAGACGTACAGATAGACAAAGGCGTAAAGAGGCCCCCCCACACCCCCCGCACCCTAGGGATATGTTGTCAAGGGTGGCTTTTTTGTTATGAAGATTTGCAGCCTATTTTGCACGGCTGGCCGGCCTTGGCCTCCCGCGGCCATCATTGCTGCCCCAGGGAAGGCTGCTCGCTGGCTTCCTCCCACCCCCTTGCCACTGGCAGCAAAACCATGCTGGGTTATGACATCAGCGACTTTTCCCCTTCTCAGCCCCGGGGTAGATGGGCCAGGTTGGAAAGCAGCAGGAACCTTTTCCAACGCTAACAAACCATGAGCTCAGGCAGCAAGCCCTGATATTAGAAAACGGGGGAGACTCTTAGGGGTTTCACTCAGCCTCAAAGGGATCCACGTCTTTCCAAGAGCCAAGTCCCGGTCCCTTTTCAGGGCAGCTGGCCAAGCTGGGAGATTGGGAGCTGGAAAGATGTCCCCTGAAATACAGGTTTGGTGACTCTGACCGTGAATGGCCCCGATTCACAGGGGAGGGTTGCTGTTCCTTTGCCATCCTTAGCCTATTTGCAGCACTTGCTGAAAAATAGACAGAAACACCCAGACAGGAGCTTGGGCCGTATATGCAGGGGACAAATGAAATGTTTTCCTACTGTGTAAAAAGTCCAGGTGTTCCCATATGTAGAGCTTGGAACAATGTCATCAGCTCCTCTTCATTTTTTTCCCAAATAACCTCCTTTAAGAGACAGCAAACACCAGTGCTGCGGAGGTATGTCTAATTGCAGATACTTTTTGTTCATCATCACATTGAACATTGTTGTGTGTTCCAGCAGCCACCAACTTCCTCAGGAGGAAAATTCAATCGTGCTCTAAGCGGCAGCGTGAAGGGACCGGGCCAAGCAGGCAGGGTGCTGCGGGTCGACAAGGTGCCGCTGTGCCCCTGAAGCCTTAGGAGCCTCAGCCTAGGAGCTCAGGAAAGGGTGGGGCTCCTGCCCACCTGGCTTTCTGCCTTACTGAGCTCCAAAGACAGGCTCCTTCCACGTCACGGGCAGCCCTTATCCTGCGTGTGCGTCTCGCTCCCTGACAAGCCTATTTGTGCCTTGTCACCAGAAATGTACCTTTTTTCTTCTCTCATCTGTCCCTGACACCCCCAGCTTATCTAGCCTGAAGATAGGCTATCAAAATGGTAATAGCCAGATGGAAAACAAGGAAAAATAAGTCCTTTCCCACAAGGAAGCAATACAGATTTTGGGACTGAAGAAATTTCTACTATTCTCCCAACATCATTCCCTCCGCCCTGGGTATGCTTCTGAGAGGGTCGGAGGTGTCACCTGCCAGACCCTGGGACTGGCTGAGGCAAAACACACCTGCAGATTTCTTGTGAATCAAAAAGTAAATTGCTAAAAGGAGGAGCTGTCATCCCCGGGCATTTCTCTGTGCACAGGCGACCTAGTGTTGGGATGGCAGCAGAACCTGGACAACTGAGCCAACACACGGAGGGAAGCCCTCACCAGCCTGCATTCGACTTGTATGAGAGAAAAGTGAGCGTTTCTTTTTTTTTTTTTTTTTTT